AATGACGTATATCAAAGTGACTTTATCTAAAAACTATATTTAAGATAATCTTAACGGTTGAAATTCAAATGGTACATCTATCTAACTTGTGTTATATCCTAGTGACGATTAAACTATGGGTAACATCTGAGAGCTATTAAAGGACTAATATTATAAATATATTCTTATTGTATAGCTGTTGAGTAAGTAGATTATGTATATCTATATTCCTCTTATTATAAGCTTTATTTGAACCTACAGACTGTTATTATGCGATTTACCATTCTTAAGTTATACCCAGTTTATGAATTACAGTCTTTCACAATCACAGCCACTTTTTGGCTTGATTCTGCACAATTGTTATTTTATCATTTTATGATATGATGTAGTCTGTTTGGCTTGTATATAAACCAAGTTTATTTGAAATATATGATTCATACAGTAGAGGTTGTTATTATTTGCATTCTGGACTCAATAGCCAGGGCTTAGCAGGGAAAGGATTAATAAGGATGCTAGGCTGTTCAGACTGGTCAATATGTCATTGTTGTGGTAAATTGTTAAGATTACATAAGTCGTGTTCTGATTGGTGATTTTATCACGTGATAATCGATTGAGCAAAAGTCATAACAACTTGTTTGGATTTCTTCAAAGAAATGTAATTAGAATTTTGTTTATTTCCTTAAAAAATCTAGAGCTAATTTGATAGAAGAAATGTTTGAAATCATGTAGATTTCAACAACATCTGAAGTTACAAAGATTTCGAAATAGTAGTACATTAAATCTCTGAAATTTATACACAACTGACAATTTATCGATTTTAATAAAATTTGGTGGGATTACTTCTATATTTATAAATTACTTAAGATAGTATTTTCTGTATGTAAAAGAAAGCTTAACCAAAGTACTGGTTTCTCTTAGGTATACAATGAATGTTTTGTTATCAAAGTCAAAGATGACTGTATACGATGTATGATATTGGTTCTGTTTCTGTATCCGTTCACACTATTTAACATTTGAAGAAATAAATTGTTGGTGATATTCTAATCATTTCTTCATCATGTACCAATTAAACTATTCCACTAGTAGAAGGAATAGTTGTTTAAACTTGATTTATAAACTGTTTGATTACTGAACAGTAATAACATACTTGTATACTTCATTATTCTGTCTAAAGTTCAGTGATCGAGTTGTAATGTGGCCGTTGGATGATTATAAAAATTCTTAGGAGGGAGACCATTCACTTAAAATTTATGCTAGTTGACATTTATCATCAATATATGCATCTGTACTCTTAAGAGAATTGATGCAGTTTACAAGATATAGATTTGGATCACTGAATATCATAATCAAAGTAAATCTATCACTGAGTTATTTCAACTGTTAGAGTCAAACTACTTAATAATAATTTAGCAAAGATGGATAGTAACTAACATTAGAATCCAGAATGCGCGTTTCGTCTTATTTCATCCTCGTCAGCTGGATGTACTTACATCTCAGAGTTGTTGTTCACTCTGAGACTCGAACTCATTACCGTTCGCTTCAAACGTCATCACGTTATTCCCTTAGTTACTGAGTTCTACTAGCCATTTCATTAATGAATGATTAATTAAAATAACTTTACACGTATAATTCATACATAAAATACCAAAAGAAGACAAAGAAAAAAAAAAGAAAAGAAATAAACTAAAGTGATTAATCGATTTTCACATGATCTGTCTACTCAATAAAAGACATTGATAATATTAATTATGCGTACTCGTGATATTTAACTTAACTCTAAAAATCCCTATCATATATACGTCTGTACACATACCTACATACATACACACATACACAATATATATATATATATATATATATATATATATATACAAATTGATAAGTATACTTACACTATTTTAATTTGTACTTTATTAATTATGTAAAATAAAAAAATTTTATAAAAACTATTTCTCTAATACTCCGAAAAAAATTGTTTTTTTTTAATATTTATTTTGTATTAAAGAATTAATCAATAAAATGTTTATATATAACAAAATTAATATGAATGATATAATTAAAAAGATAAATACAAGAAGAAAAAGAAAAGAAAAGAAAAAAAAAGAAAAAAATGTATTAACGATTTTGTTTATAATAGATCTTTGAATTAAAAGTAAAGATAGATTGATGATAGTGTAAATTTATTGTTGAATGTGAATGTTGCTTTATTTCTTTATTTATTTATTAAATATAAAGTAATATTGGAATAGAGATAGAATATTGATTAGTAATAGTGGATGGAATTCAATGAACTCATTTCATATTGTGTTTAGAAGTTAATGTTTATTAGTGAATATGTGTAGTATCTATTATTATGTTAAGCCCAAATATCTTATTCTAACATTCGGACAACTCAATCTATTCATTCTACTTGAGTCATATTTTGACCTTGTTAATTATTCGCTTATCAATCTTGACTGTTTTTATATGAGCGCGTAGGTGTTTGTACACTTCTTATCCTATTACTCAGTCTATGTCTGTAACTTAATTTTATGTGCTTATAAATATTGATTAACGCTTGGTTGATAGGGTGTTGGCTTACCCGCCATCTCTACTGCACGTCGTTTCTCTTCTTTCTAATCTGTTCGCTTCATATAGAAAATATATGTATTAAAAGTCCATTCTCGTTATTTGACGTATTTAATTTCGTTATTGACTAACGCTATTTAAGGCGATGATTATATACGAGGATAGGCGACATATAAATTTCGACAACAATCATTCATACGATCAAATTGGAGTCAGATCACGGGCCACTAAAATGAATAGCCTTTCGACAACATCGTCCAATTTAAAATTATACAAAATAACGGGCCACACATAAAGTGGTGAGCCCGCCGACGCCGACGAACTCAACGGGCTCCACATATGAACGAAGTAATTTTCTTTTTTTAAATATTGAATACTTTATCCATTTAATTATTGAGTTCATAAAATCATTAGTGTTGGGTATTTGAATAGAAAAGTACTAGGTTAAAGATTTTAAGTGAACATATACAATAAGATGTAGATACATTCAACTAATGAGACTTAAATAAAACGGAATACGCTTCCTAGATTTGTCTATTACCAGTATCAAACTTAGTCAAAAATGGATAATTACTTAATGGCAATCTCAAGTCAATCCACTATATATATATATATATATATATATATATATATATCAGAAGGGTTTTTGTGGATATTATAGTGTTTTTTAATAGTTTAATTCATAAGTCAATTAAAGCTAGACCACCATGGAAAACCTGAAAGCACTGGGTGGCCGTTTCGTCCTATTGTGTGACTCCATAGCATATATATGCCAAAACAGAATGACCAATATTTAACCCTTAACACCATCAACGAATGATCTAAGCACTTTTAAATGGCTTATAGAAGTTAGTTTTGCCTTGAAGATCAGTTCATTTCAAGAAATACTGAGTAATTAACTGACCTTACATTGTAATTCGTCATCCGTGTCAACTAAGGAACTTTGATTCTTGCTTTAAGGATAACACCATTCAGTTGATACTAAACGATTTTATATTTCTAGTGTCAATCAATCTATGATACGACACCACTGTTACCAATTATCATCAATAATATTGTCTCTCAGCATTTGTGTTGAAATTTTCCTCGTAACTAATTACTGACATGAACAATAAACTTATGAACCATTCAACAGATAAAACGTTTATAAATAAATTACATTTTTATCTAATTAAAACATTTATACGAATATTCGTCAAGATTAGAACGAATAGTTTGACCGAAATTGAGCGCCAAATATAGAGAAGTTATTATATGTGAAAATTATGTTCGAAATAATCTGGACCCTGAAGAAGCCCAGACAAATTAACTGGACGAAACGTTGGAATTATTTAAATTTCAATCACTAAGATTATTTCAAATATAATTTTCACATAATTAATACATGGACTAGTTTATTAAAAAAAATCAGAACAAGTTATATATTTAAAAATAAATCAATTATTTCTCAATCTACCAATCAAATGAAATCAAGAACAAGAAGGAATTTTGGCAGAAAGATAACTATCTATTTCTATCCATCCAAAATATTTTTAACAATAAACAATAAAATTTTTCAAATGATTTATATAATCATTAAATTTAACATTGTGAAAATAAGAAGACTAATTGATCAATAAAGTTTTCTTGAATTGATGAATAACTTTCGACATCTCATAACAATACAAAGTAATGGTGATGTTTCATGAAGTCATAGTTGTTATATGTAGAAGAGAATTATGAATGGTAATGCTTAAGAACTATTTATGCAACAATACGATATATATATATATATATATATATATATATATATATATATATATATATATAATCATTATTAAGTAGCTAAACTATTCATATTCATGTTCCTCTTATTACAAACTTTATTTTGACCCATAGACTATTATTATACGATTTACCGTTCTTGAGTAATGCTCAGTCTATTAATTACAGTCTCCTACATTCACAGTAACTTTTGGCTAGATCTTGTACAAATGTTATTTTCTATTTTGTGATGAGATGTGGTCTGTTTGGTTTGCATATAAACCTAATACGTTTGAAATACATGATTGAAATAGAAGAGTCTTAGATTGATGTTTTGGACTTAACAGTCAGGGCTAAACAAGAAGCAGGACTCTAGACTTCTCTCACGGATTTTATGCGTTATTGGTCCGGTCGATAAATCACTGTTCTATAATTGGCTGTATCATTATGTTACGTATATATTGATAGGGGCAAAAGGCCACCAGTTATAACAATAGTTCTTAATTAACACAACATAGAAACTGAATAAATATAATTGTATTTAACTATAAGTGACACTAATTTACGTGCAAAGTTTATTGATACTACCCAAGTTGTTTAAATCGAATAATTTAAAAGGAAAGCTTGAAAATGAAACACAGAAAATTGACTTCACACCTGAGTGAGTCAAATATAAGAGATAACACAATTGAAAATTAATAATTGCTTACCTGAATAGATGGTTATGCTGATAGAATAATGCAGCAAATTAATAGTAGATGAATCATTGAGGAGACATAAATTTGAAAAATTAGGATAACGTTTTTGTGTTTAAATTTTGATCAATACAATTTCTGGTTGTTTTTTTTAGAACAAAAGTGAATTGGAAATAAATGGATTAATAATATTATGACTGTTATAAAAATTCAAGCTTCATTTATGCGGTGAACCACGTTTAGACCACCATGTTTTTAATCGAGTTAAACTTTTCGATCGACGTTTAGAAACATCATTATCTTGTTCCAATGAAGATTTGTTACCTTTTAAAAGATGTGATGTAAATCGACTTATTCTTTTGGATATATTCTGATGATCAGAGAGTTTAGTATCTAAATAAATAAATATATAATACTATATAATAGAATGTGATAAAAATGAAAGAAAAAATAACCTTTATTCATACATGTATCAAAACTAAATTATGACATTATTTCAATGTTATTATGATATGGTTGACAAAAATTATGTAATTTCGATAGTTGAGATCATGAGTCAATTGAAGCTAAACTACTAGGGAAAACTTAGAAAGATTGGACGGCCGTTTCGTCCTATTACGGGACCCCTCAGCAGTGCGCATCCATGATACCGCCTCGTAAGATTCGAACCTAGGATCTATTGGTTTTGCACACGAACGCTTAACCTTTACACCATTGAGCCGGCATCCAATGATGTTAATGTCTAACTTCAACTAATCCACGAAATTTAGCGACACATCCACTATTATTTTCAATGAGTTACTATCTCACAACACACCCGATTGAACTAATCGTGAATAACGTTTTAGTAATTATATTCAAATTTCTGGAGATTATTTTATATTATCCTGTAATATCAGTCATTGAAAATTCACTGATTCATATGAGAATCACTTGTCATATAATTTGTTCTGGATTCATTATGGAACAGGAGAAAGAAAGGATCTTTTCTTATTGATTTTTTATAGCAACATATATTTCATGAAAAATTTTTCTATCTCGCATGTATTCACCTCATTCTACTGTTATTTCCTGTTCTAAATAATTAAATCCTGTTTTTTGCTTCTCAGTATTCTATAACCTAATTACTAAATTAATATCTTATTGGAAATAAGCTATTAGGTCGTATATATATATATATATATATATATATATATATATATATATATACTTTTGAAATAACTAATCTCGTCAATTAAACAGCGATAAACACTGCATGAATATATCATGGAATGTTAACCAATGTCGAATGGTCAACTCTCTTGTTAGATATAATCATTAAATAATATGGTGTATTACTAAACGGTAGTTTTTATTCTTTTGAAGGAGTGAACTTAACAGGTAGGTTGAATCAAATTTAGATTCTGTACTTACTGAGATATATAATGAAGGTAAATATATAGCCTTTACGGAAACTGGATACTCTCATACAGGTTATAACTCATATCATTCATTGCAGAAATCAAAAACATTATCATTGAGTTGATAGATCTAAACACTTGATAAATATTGAAAATTATAAGATTTATCTATCCTAATGATTCTATCCAGCTATCTTAAATTAAAGACTGATAATATTATCAAACACTTGTATGAAATAGTGAAATGAGGATGAGTACAGTGGAATACAGGATGTATGTTTTGTGTTATTTGGGTTCCAGCAGTTGAATATACTTGTATATTAGTGTTAAAGTTCACTCTGGGATAATTACTGGTTTGTGAAACAGTTATGAATTTAAATTCGATTTGTGATAATTTCAATTATTCTGTAGTTTTTACAGGTTAGAGACTATTTAAACTCAGTACTTAACTGGATAACGTGATGGACATTCGAAGCAAAAGGTATTGGGTTTGAATCCTGGAGTGAATATTAACATTGAGATACAAGTAAATTGAACTAGTGAAACCTAATTAGCACAAAATGCACATCCTGGATTCCACTATTAGCAATATTCCATTCATTCTATAAGAGCTTTTCAAATAATAGTTATGTAGAGGTAAACCACATAGCATGTACACACCCCAACTACAATTGATAAAAATTTCATCTAAAAATATCAAAAACGAAATGATGCAAACCATTACAAACCAAATTACAGCTTTATATAGTCTAGCTTAAAATGTACTCACAGTTTCTTTTCTCTTATTTTGTCAAAAGATTGAATTACCGAATAATTATACTGTGTGCTTATAAAGTATAATAAGAATATGAATTCAGTAGTCTAAGATTGAACTTAGTAGAATAATTGAATTGACAGAGACAACTGTAACTATACTTTACATAGTGGTTAGCACTAAAATCCAAGATAAGATTTTTGTCCAACATAGCACTCGTTAAGTTTCTCCGACTCCATTTAAGCTTTAACGATAACACTGAGATTAAAAGTTAGTACAGATTATTTCATATTTCAGAGTATTGTCTATTATATTCACAGAGATTAATCAATTTTGTGCTTTCATTAAAATTCCCAATAAAATTCTTTTACTATTAAGCAACAATGGGCTTATGTTTCCAACTTGTAAACATTAATCAGTATAGTATAGGTATATGTCGATTCTTGAAATTTAATAGTGTAGTAAATGTTTGACCTAACAACATATAGTGTTTTGGTAAGTTCAATTGTTGAGATCATGAGTGGATTGAAGCTAGACCACCATAGGAAACCTGGAAGCACTGAACGGCCGTTTCATCCTATTGTGGGACTCCTCAGCAGTGTGCACCCACGACCTCGCCCCCTGCGAGATTCGAACCCAGGACCTACTGGTCTCGAGCGCGATCACTTAGTCACTAAACAACTGAGTCAGTCGGCATCCAACAGTGTTAATGTCTAACTTCAAATAGCTTCGATTGACTCATAATCTCAACAATTGAAATTACTAAAATCTCCACAAAACCCCTTATGATATAGTGTTTTAATTAAAAATGTGGCTATTAATCCATTCAAAATGATGACTGGTTTCTTTCAATAATGCATTAGTCACATAGACTAGATACTTAATAGTAAAATAATATGTTGTTATTATTTTCAAATGAAAGATTTCAAGTGATCGCTAGACTAATTTAAAACAATCATTTACTTAGTCATTTCTCAATAATAATAACTAGTACCATTTCAAATATCGTCATGATGACTAACGGTTATTAGGTATGAAGTATTCACCAAAATAGTTGATTACTTGCATTGCATACATGTTGTAATCAACTAGGAAAAACTAGTCTTCAAAAATTTTCCTACACCACAATATGATCTTTCAAATGAATTCATTATTGTTGGAGTAAAAAAAATATTCAACCGTTAGTAAAATATTACCAAATTATATGATTATGAAACAACATCTAAACAGAACTAATATCCATCTAAGTATTATTTATTGAATCCAGTCACAGTCAGTCAGTCAGCTAAAACGTAGGACCAAGCACATATATGCATCGGTCCAAGTTGCCATACCACATTAGCACAGCAATATGAACATTGGATTCATAGGAGTAGTTAAGCCAATGGCGGTAATATATAAAAGAAAGATTGCATACAAGGATATAGTAAAGGAAGAAAGAATTAGTACATAGAAGGAAAGATATAAAGCAATTTTAATCTCATGGTTTAAGGGAAGACAAAGAGTGTATACACTTACGCCATTGTGATCGATTCTGAGCCATGTCACCCAGAGTTTCCAGCCATCGGTTCCGAGAGTCACGCGGACCCCAACCAAGTAGACTGAATCTACCGATATGGCTCAGACCAGAAGTTAGTGTCTTCAAGCACTGATGTCACGTTTTAGTTTGGCCACCCCCTATAATCACAGCGTCTTACCTATTCTAAAGAAATTATTACTTAAGTAAATAGTAAATCATCCTGGAGTATACTGAATACTGTGATGGAAATAACTCATTTATCTATGTAAACTTATACTAATTTAAAAATCTAAAGTGTGACATTTCTTTGAATTGAGGTAAGATCTTCCAATACTATGACTAGCACGATTTATTTGGACTTTTAAATTAGGTTCCAGTTAACAACATTGTCAACTTCAATTGATTTATGAATTAGTGTAACTCTAGATTTATTACCATTGATGCGTAAATTAAGTGATTTTATGAAAAATCTATATAATTTGACAATCATTTCATCATATCTGATTAAGATCAGTCTGTATCATTATATTGTTGAAATAGTCAACAGAATCCATCGACTTCTAACTAAGCATCATGTATGCTATGATATCTAGAGATGTTGAACTTGATCCCTCATGAGTTTGAAGATTTATACAACTAAGATATCTTAAATTATAAGCAGACAACTGTCTTGTGTTTTCTAAAACTCATCAGTTCTCTAAACATCTTCAGCACACTGTAAAACTATTCGTAACTGATAGTAACAATTGTGAGACCATTAATAATAATAATAATAATAATAATAATAATAATAATAATAATAATAATAATAATAGCTAATCCTATTTTCTTTATTTCTTCATAATTTGTTATGAGACTGAAAGTTGAAAAAAGACCACAGTTGAGAAAAGATCTGTAAAGGAGATTGACTACTGTCTCCAAGTAATAATCGCTTGACCACCTTTTAATTTATCCATTTAATGAAATTGCCTTTTCTTAAATCCTAAGAGTTTTAATCCCTATATAGTTCAAGAAGTAGAACGTAATCTTATATAAGCCGGTTATAATAATTGCATTATCATCAAATGAAAATCATTATCAAAACATTAAAATTAGAAAAAAGAACAACATAATTTCAATTTTTAACTTACCAAGTGATATAAGACTGCTTTCTTCCTCAGCTGTCATTCGAACAATACTGCCACTATTCTGCGAGAGTTGAGATATCAATGTTCTTCTTGATTCACCTATAGGCCATTCAGGTTCATAACGTGGAATGGCTTTATCGTCTATATATGGAACATCATAAACTATTTCCTTGCTTGCTCGAAAACTTGGAATTTTAGTCGGTGTTAAAGCATCTGGGAACATGTAATCATCGTCTACAAAATGACACCCAGGTGGTGGATATTCTAAAGTGCTCCAAGGGCGGCGTTTTGTTGAATTTCCTATACTACGTCGAAGAAAGTCAGAAGCGTTTAATGAATTGATGTTTGAAGATTTTGTGGTTGACCTTGGTTGTAGATAACTAACTGAAACATCTTCAGTTAAAGTGTATTCATCTTGATCTGAATTGAGGCTTCCTAAAAAGTCAGAATAGGGTTCTCTTGCACCATGCCACGTTTTCCGAATAGAGGGATCTCTCAGTTTACTGGGAGAGCGCCGAGGAGTTAAAGCAAGATCAGCATTATGATCAGAAAAAGATATTCCTATTACGTCGTGGTGGTCTCCATGATGATCCAGTTTCATGGGAGTATCTGAAATAATTTCATTGGTCGATATTTGACCACCGAATATGCGTGGCTTCTTATGATGAGATTTCACCTTTTTCTTAGACTTACTATCAACTGTGATACGTCCCGAACCATCAGGGATACCATAATGAGTATTATCAACATTAAGTTTTTCAGTATTTTTTGAGATTTGGTCGTTGGCATCGATAACTTTCACTCGATGAACAGAATCTTTATCATGTTTTTTTGATTTCAAAGTATGAAATGGACTGTGTAATTTACTTTTATCAGACTTTATCCCATGTGTTGCATCCGAATTCTGAGTAGGAGAATACGATTTTTCTTCAGGTTCAGCACCTACAAAGTCCTGTGATTCAGTAAAATATTGCTCTTTCGGTAAAATACGATTGGATTGAATGGGAACAATAAAAATTTCATCAATTTCAGCCTCATCATTTGAAATGTCACCATTAAAACCAGAATCAACAGGAGATGAAAAGCTCTCATCTATATCTTGAAAAGCATTTCTAGGCGAAATCCGAGAAGGAAGAGTACTGGAGTCACAAAATTCCGGTGAAGAAAACGGTGAAATAATGGGTTCCTCAACGACAGGAAGAAAATCAACAACTTCAAATGGTTCACTTGATAAAGGGGAAGAAAAGACGGGAGGACTGAAAGTAACGACAGAGGAAGTAATAGCAGAATCCGAGGCAACCAAAACAGAATCGGGCACGTAAGATTGCAAAAATTCGGAAGATAAGCAAGAATCAGACAAAATATAGGAAGGAGTATTATCAAGACAAGGACTAAAGGAAGAAACCACAGTAGAAGATAAAACATTATGATCAGCATCGTTTAAAATAACATTCACATCAGGTGCATCTGCATGAAGTTTTCCAGACACATCTGGTCCATGCACTTTCAACTTTGGCAATGAGATATTCGGAGACCAGTGGAATTTCTTACCTTTCACTCGATCACCTGAGTCCACATCGACCTTCACACTGGGAACATCAACCTTTCCACCCACATCCAAACTAGCATCCACGTCTCCCGACACTGTGGGCAACTTCACCTTCTTCGCCTTCTTGCCTTTCGAGCCCCAACCGAAGGTGAACTTCTTCTTCGATGGAACACTGACATCCACATCGGGTGCAGAAACTTTCCCAGTCAGTCCCAACTCCCCACCTCTAATCACACCACCTGATACATCGATTTCGGGCACAGAGGCGGACACATCAACGTCGGGAACCTCCATGGAGACATCGAGTTCGGGTTTCGGAAGAGACACATCCACACCACCAGTCGTACCTGAGACAGACACCGAGGTGTCCGGCACTCCAACACCAGCACCTCCACCAATCTTCAGACCACCCTTCGGCAACTCGAACTTAGGAGACCAATGGAACTTCTTACCTCCCTTTCTTGCTTTACCATCTAAGTGAGCGTCCAAACCGGCATCCAAATCTATCTCCCCACCTGCTCCACCCTCCACTTTCACATCAGCCTTTGGAGTCTTCACTTTCGGCTTCTTCTTGCCCAGACCGAACCCGAATTTCGGTGCCTTGATTGAAATATGTGGTTTCGGCACATCCACCTTAGCACCCACATCCACATCCGGCATCTCACCATGTACACGGAGATCTGGACCAGTCAGTTGCACACTGGGCAGTTTCACGTCTGTGTCCAGATTGGCGGACACATCTGGCATGGATAGGTCTCCCTCGACAGACGGTGCGCTCACATTTCCTGAGATCTGTAGGTCTGGCAGATTCAAATCGGCGTCCACAACTCCCACACCGACACCATCCAAATCGAGCTTACCGGATAGATCACCTCCCAACGATGCATCGGGAACGGACACATCGACAGTAGGCAAATGACCACTGGCTTTCAGAGATGGCACCTCCACAGATGGACCAGTCACATTCACATTCACATCAGGTGCATCTGCATGAAGTTTTCCAGACACATCTGGTCCATGCACTTTCAACTTTGGCAATGAGATATTCGGAGACCAGTGGAATTTCTTACCTTTCACTCGATCACCTGAGTCCACATCGACCTTCACACTGGGAACATCAACCTTTCCACCCACATCCAAACTAGCATCCACGTCTCCCGACACTGTGGGCAACTTCACCTTCTTCGCCTTCTTGCCTTTCGAGCCCCAACCGAAGGTGAACTTCTTCTTCGATGGAACACTGACATCCACATCGGGTGCAGAAACTTTCCCAGTCAGTCCCAACTCCCCACCTCTAATCACACCACCTGATACATCGATTTCGGGCACAGAGGCGGACACATCAACGTCGGGAACCTCCATGGAGACATCGAGTTCGGGTTTCGGAAGAGACACATCCACACCACCAGTCGTACCTGAGACAGACACCGAGGTGTCCGGCACTCCAACACCAGCACCTCCACCAATCTTCAGACCACCCTTCGGCAACCCGAACTTAGGAGACCAATGGAACTTCTTACCTCCCTTTCTTGCTTTACCATCTAAGTGAGCGTCCAAACCGGCATCCAAATCTATCTCCCCACCTGCTCCACCCTCCACTTTCACATCAGCCTTTGGAGTCTTCACTTTCGGCTTCTTCTTGCCCAGACCGAACCCGAATTTCGGTGCCTTGATTGAAATATGTGGTTTCGGCACATCCACCTTAGCACCCACATCCACATCCGGCATCTCACCATGTACACGGAGATCTGGACCAGTCAGTTGCACACTGGGCAGTTTCACGTCTGTAGTCCAGATTGGCGGACACATCTGGCATGGATAGGTCTCCCTCGACAGACGGTGCGCTCACATTTCCTGAGATCTGTAGGTCTGGCAGATTCAAATCGGCGTCCACAACTCCCACACCGACACCATCCAAATCGAGCTTACCGGATAGATCACCTCCCAACGATGCATCGGGAACGGACACATCGACAGTAGGCAAATGACCACTGGCTTTCAGAGATGGCACCTCCACAGATGGACCAGTCACATTCACATTCACATCAGGTGCATCTGCATGAAGTTTTCCAGACACATCTGGTCCATGCACTTTCAACTTTGGCAATGAGATATTCGGAGACCAGTGGAATTTCTTACCTTTCACTCGATCACCTGAGTCCACATCGACCTTCACACTGGGAACATCAACCTTTCCACCCACATCCAAACTAGCATCCACGTCTCCCGACACTGTGGGCAACTTCACCTTCTTCGCCTTCTTGCCTTTCGAGCCCCAACCGAAGGTGAACTTCTTCTTCGATGGAACACTGACATCCACATCGGGTGCAGAAACTTTCCCAGTCAGTCCCAACTCCCCACCTCTAATCACACCACCTGATACATCGATTTCGGGCACAGAGGCGGACACATCAACGTCGGGAACCTCCATGGAGACATCGAGTTCGGGTTTCGGAAGAGACACATCCACACCACCAGTCGTACCTGAGACAGACACCGAGGTGTCCGGCACTCCAACACCAGCACCTCCACCAATCTTCAGACCACCCTTCGGCAACCCGAACTTAGGAGACCAATGGAACTTCTTACCTCCCTTTCTTGCTTTACCATCTAAGTGAGCGTCCAAACCGGCATCCAAATCTATCTCCCCACCTGCTCCACCCTCCACTTTCACATCAGCCTTTGGAGCCTTCACTTTCGGCTTCTTCTTGCCCAGACCGAACCCGAATTTCGGTGCCTTGATTGAAATATGTGGTTTCGGCACATCCACCTTAGCACCCACATCCACATCCGGCATCTCACCATGTACACGGAGATCTGGACCAGTCAGTTGCACACTGGGCAGTTTCACGTCTGTGTCCAGATTGGCGGACACATCTGGCATGGATAGGTCTCCCTCGACAGACGGTGCGCTCACATTTCCTGAGATCTGTAGGTCTGGCAGATTCAAATCGGCGTCCACAACTCCCACACCGACACCATCCAAATCGAGCTTACCGGATAGATCACCTCCCAACGATGCATCGGGAACGGACACATCGACAGTAGGCAAATGACCACTGGCTTTCAGAGATGGCACCTCCACAGATGGACCAGTCACATTCACATTCACATCAGGTGCATCTGCATGAAGTTTTCCAGACACATCTGGTCCATGCACTTTCAACTTTGGCAATGAGATATTCGGAGACCAGTGGAATTTCTTACCTTTCACTCGATCACCTGAGTCCACATCGACCTTCACACTGGGAACATCAACCTTTCCACCCACATCCAAACTAGCATCCACGTCTCCCGACACTGTGGGCAACTTCACCTTCTTCGCCTTCTTGCCTTTCGAGCCCCAACCGAAGGTGAACTTCTTCTTCGATGGAACACTGACATCCACATCGGGTGCAGAAACTTTCCCAGTCAGTCCCAACTCCCCACCTCTAATCACACCACCTGATACATCGATTTCGGGCACAGAGGCGGACACATCAACGTCGGGAACCTCCATGGAGACATCGAGTTCGGGTTTCGGAAGAGACACATCCACACCACCAGTCGTACCTGAGACAGACACCGAGGTGTCCGGCACTCCAACACCAGCACCTCCACCAATCTTCAGACCACCCTTCGGCAACCCGAACTTAGGAGACCAATGGAACTTCTTACCTCCCTTTCTTGCTTTACCATCTAAGTGAGCGTCCAAACCGGCATCCAAATCTATCTCCCCACCTGCTCCACCCTCCACTTTCACATCAGCCTTTGGAGTCTTCACTTTCGGCTTCTTCTTGCCCAGACCGAACCCGAATTTCGGTGCCTTGATTGAAATATGTGGTTTCGGCACATCCACCTTAGCACCCACATCCACATCCGGCATCTCACCATGTACACGGAGATCTGGACCAGTCAGTTGCACACTGGGCAGTTTCACGTCTGTGTCCAGATTGGCGGACACATCTGGCATGGATAGGTCTCCCTCGACAGACGGTGCGCTCACATTTCCTGAGATCTGTAGGTCTGGCAGATTCAAATCGGCGTCCACAACTCCCACACCGACACCATCCAAATCGAGCTTACCGGATAGATCACCTCCCAACGATGCATCGGGAACGGACACATCGACAGTAGGCAAATGACCACTGGCTTTCAGAGATGGCACCTCCACAGATGGACCAGTCACATTCACATTCACATCAGGTGCATCTGCATGAAGTTTTCCAGACACATCTGGTCCATGCACTTTCAACTTTGGCAATGAGATATTCGGAGACCAGTGGAATTTCTTACCTTTCACTCGATCACCTGAGTCCACATCGACCTTCACACTGGGAACATCAACCTTTCCACCCACATCCAAACTAGCATCCACGTCTCCCGACACTGTGGGCAACTTCACCTTCTTCGCCTTCTTGCCTTTCGAGCCCCAACCGAAGGTGAACTTCTTCTTCGATGGAACACTGACATCCACATCGGGTGCAGAAACTTTCCCAGTCAGTCCCAACTCCCCACCTCTAATCACACCACCTGATACATCGATTTCGGGCACAGAGGCGGACACATCAACGTCGGGAACCTCCATGGAGACATCGAGTTCGGGTTTCGGAAGAGACACATCCACACCACCAGTCGTACCTGAGACAGACACCGAGGTGTCCGGCACTCCAACACCAGCACCTCCACCAATCTTCAGACCACCCTTCGGCAACCCGAACTTAGGAGACCAATGGAACTTCTTACCTCCCTTTCTTGCTTTACCATCTAAGTGAGCGTCCAAACCGGCATCCAAATCTATCTCCCCACCTGCTCCACCCTCCACTTTCACATCAGCCTTTGGAGTCTTCACTTTCGGCTTCTTCTTGCCCAGACCGAACCCGAATTTCGGTGCCTTGATTGAAATATGTGGTTTCGGCACATCCACCTTAGCACCCACATCCACATCCGGCATCTCACCATGTACACGGAGATCTGGACCAGTCAGTTGCACACTGGGCAGTTTCACGTCTGTGTCCAGATTGGCGGACACATCTGGCATGGATAGGTCTCCCTCGACAGACGGTGCGCTCACATTTCCTGAGATCTGTAGGTCTGGCAGATTCAAATCGGCGTCCACAACTCCCACACCGACACCATCCAAATCGAGCTTACCGGATAGATCACCTCCCAACGATGCATCGGGAACGGACACATCGACAGTAGGCAAATGACCACTGGCTTTCAGAGATGGCACCTCCACAGATGGACCAGTCACATTCACATTCACATCAGGTGCATCTGCATGAAGTTTTCCAGACACATCTGGTCCATGCACTTTCAACTTTGGCAATGAGATATTCGGAGACCAGTGGAATTTCTTACCTTTCACTCGATCACCTGAGTCCACATCGACCTTCACACTGGGAACATCAACCTTTCCACCCACATCCAAACTAGCATCCACGTCTCCCGACACTGTGGGCAACTTCACCTTCTTCGCCTTCTTGCCTTTCGAGCCCCAACCGAAGGTGAACTTCTTCTTCGATGGAACACTGACATCCACATCGGGTGCAGAAACTTTCCCAGTCAGTCCCAACTCCCCACCTCTAATCACACCACCTGATACATCGATTTCGGGCACAGAGGCGGACACATCAACGTCGGGAACCTCCATGGAGACATCGAGTTCGGGTTTCGGAAGAGACACATCCACACCACCAGTCGTACCTGAGACAGACACCGAGGTGTCCGGCACTCCAACACCAGCACCTCCACCAATCTTCAGACCACCCTTCGGCAACCCGAACTTAGGAGACCAATGGAACTTCTTACCTCCCTTTCTTGCTTTACCATCTAAGTGAGCGTCCAAACCGGCATCCAAATCTATCTCCCCACCTGCTCCACCCTCCACTTTCACATCAGCCTTTGGAGTCTTCACTTTCGGCTTCTTCTTGCCCAGACCGAACCCGAATTTCGGTGCCTTGATTGAAATATGTGGTTTCGGCACATCCACCTTAGCACCCACATCCACATCCGGCATCTCACCATGTACACGGAGATCTGGACCAGTCAGTTGCACACTGGGCAGTTTCACGTCTGTGTCCAGATTGGCGGACACATCTGGCATGGATAGGTCTCCCTCGACAGACGGTGCGCTCACATTTCCTGAGATCTGTAGGTCTGGCAGATTCAAATCGGCGTCCACAACTCCCACACCGACACCATCCAAATCGAGCTTACCGGATAGATCACCTCCCAACTGATGCATCGGGAACGGACACATCGACAGTAGGCAAATGACCACTGGCTTTCAGAGATGGCACCTCCACAGATGGACCAGTCACATTCACATTCACATCAGGTGCATCTGCATGAAGTTTTCCAGACACATCTGGTCCATGCACTTTCAACTTTGGCAATGAGATATTCGGAGACCAGTGGAATTTCTTACCTTTCACTCGATCACCTGAGTCCACATCGACCTTCACACTGGGAACATCAACCTTTCCACCCACATCCAAACTAGCATCCACGTCTCCCGACACTGTGGGCAACTTCACCTTCTTCGCCTTCTTGCCTTTCGAGCCCCAACCGAAGGTGAACTTCTTCTTCGATGGAACACTGACATCCACATCGGGTGCAGAAACTTTCCCAGTCAGTCCCAACTCCCCACCTCTAATCACACCACCTGATACATCGATTTCGGGCACAGAGGCGGACACATCAACGTCGGGAACTTCCATGGAGACATCGAGTTCGGGTTTCGGAAGAGACACATCCACACCACCAGTCGTACCTGAGACAGACACCGAGGTGTCCGGCACTCCAACACCAGCACCTCCACCAATCTTCAGACCACCCTTCGGCAACCCGAACTTAGGAGACCAATGGAACTTCTTACCTCCCTTTCTTGCTTTACCATCTAAGTGAGCGTCCAAACCGGCATCCAAATCTATCTCCCCACCTGCTCCACCCTCCACTTTCACATCAGCCTTTGGAGTCTTCACTTTCGGCTTCTTCTTGCCCAGACCGAACCCGAATTTCGGTGCCTTGATTGAAATATGTGGTTTCGGCACATCCACCTTAGCACCCACATCCACATCCGGCATCTCACCATGTACACGGAGATCTGGACCAGTCAGTTGCACACTGGGCAGTTTCACGTCTGTGTCCAGATTGGCGGACACATCTGGCATGGATAGGTCTCCCTCGACAGACGGTGCGCTCACATTTCCTGAGATCTGTAGGTCTGGCAGATTCAAATCGGCGTCCACAACTCCCACACCGACACCATCCAAATCGAGCTTACCGGATAGATCACCTCCCAACGATGCATCGGGAACGGACACATCGACAGTAGGCAAATGACCACTGGCTTTCAGAGATGGCACCTCCACAGATGGACCAGTCACATTCACATTCACATCAGGTGCATCTGCATGAAGTTTTCCAGACACATCTGGTCCATGCACTTTCAACTTTGGCAATGAGATATTCGGAGACCAGTGGAATTTCTTACCTTTCACTCGATCACCTGAGTCCACATCGACCTTCACACTGGGAACATCAACCTTTCCACCCACATCCAAACTAGCATCCACGTCTCCCGACACTGTGGGCAACTTCACCTTCTTCGCCTTCTTGCCTTTCGAGCCCCAACCGAAGGTGAACTTCTTCTTCGATGGAACACTGACATCCACATCGGGTGCAGAAACTTTCCCAGTCAGTCCCAACTCCCCACCTCTAATCACACCACCTGATACATCGATTTCGGGCACAGAGGCGGACACATCAACGTCGGGAACCTCCATGGAGACATCGAGTTCGGGTTTCGGAAGAGACACATCCACACCACCAGTCGTACCTGAGACAGACACCGAGGTGTCCGGCACTCCAACACCAGCACCTCCACCAATCTTCAGACCACCCTTCGGCAACCCGAACTTAGGAGACCAATGGAACTTCTTACCTCCCTTTCTTGCTTTACCATCTAAGTGAGCGTCCAAACCGGCATCCAAATCTATCTCCCCACCTGCTCCACCCTCCACTTTCACATCAGCCTTTGGAGTCTTCACTTTCGGCTTCTTCTTGCCCAGACCGAACCCGAATTTCGGTGCCTTGATTGAAATATGTGGTTTCGGCACATCCACCTTAGCACCCACATCCACATCCGGCATCTCACCATGTACACGGAGATCTGGACCAGTCAGTTGCACACTGGGCAGTTTCACGTCTGTGTCCAGATTGGCGGACACATCTGGCATGGATAGGTCTCCCTCGACAGACGGTGCGCTCACATTTCCTGAGATCTGTAGGTCTGGCAGATTCAAATCGGCGTCCACAACTCCCACACCGACACCATCCAAATCGAGCTTACCGGATAGATCACCTCCCAACGATGCATCGGGAACGGACACATCGACAGTAGGCAAATGACCACTGGCTTTCAGAGATGGCACCTCCACAGATGGACCAGTCACATTCACATTCACATCAGGTGCATCTGCATGAAGTTTTCCAGACACATCTGGTCCATGCACTTTCAACTTTGGCAATGAGATATTCGGAGACCAGTGGAACTTGTTACTCTTCACTTTTTCGTGCTGTGTGTTTGGCCCTTTTTTTAGTTTTTCTTTTTTTATTTTTATTTCTTGTGGAGGTTGTTTTTCTGCGTTGTATCTGGTGGTTATTGTTTTGTTTATTTTTATGCGGTTAAGATTTACGCATGGGTTCATCATTCTTTTTTCCTTCTTCTTTTCTATCTTCCCGTCTATTTTACTCTGTTTTGCATCTTCCGTTCCTTTTTCTTTCTTTGCTTTATAGTCTGTTATTCGCCTTTCCTTTTTTTGTGCTCCTTTCGCGGTCTTTATTTCGTTCTCTTTTACTTCATTCTTGTTTCGATGCAGGATTTTTGTTTTTCTTGTCACCTTTTTGTTTTCCATTCCTGATGTTTCGGTTGGTTCATGTTCAATGGGTTGATTATTTGAATCTAGATCAGGGATTTTGTATTGTTTTCCACTGATAACCCCTTCAACAGGTTTATCATTTCGTTGCATAACTTCTAAATCATTTCTATTAGGATGTTCATGTTTTTTAAATTTAAGTTTCGGTGAACAACCTATTTTTTGTCTTTTTTCAATTTTATTATTTTCATCAGTAATTTTTCCTTGACTATCCAGTATAACAATTTCATTTTCTTTATTGTTCATATTCATTTTTAACTTTGGTTTCATAAAATGTAGTTTTTGTTTTAATAATACTTTACTAGTTTTCGATTTCTCTGAATGTTTTGTTTTCATTAATGGTTCATTTAATTCTGTCTGTACATTACATATTTCTAAGTCATAAGGATTAGGTTCTGGCTTAGTTGTATCATATTTTGATAAATAATTTTCATATCCCTGATTATTGGTATTTATATGATAATCACTAGATAGTCGTTGAGATTCATTTTGTTTACTTAGGTTATCATGAGAATTTAACTGATATTTATGACTTACCATTGATTTGATATTATTATTATTATTAGAATCCTTATGGATATTATTTGAGTCATTAAAATCCAAATTATGTTTATTTAATTTAGGTGAGGTTTCTTCACTCGATTGTACATAATATACTGGAACATATAAATTACTACTCATTGGTAATTTAATTGGTATGTACATAGGATTATCCAATTCTGTACAAATATCTTTTTCAATACTAGAATGATATATTTCATAATCATCTGTATGTCTATAACATGATCCAATTTTTTCTGTATCATGAAATTTTTTCAAATTATCATCATCAACAACAACATTTACATTGGTAGTAATATCTTTGTATAGATCTTTTTTAACTTTTAATGAATCATATTCTTGACATTCTAATGGAGGTGTATGACTTGTTTCCCATACATCAGATAATTTAGATTTTTTACATTCTGGATCTATCAATGTATCATATAATTCACATGTAATATTTGATTTTAAATTATCATCAATTTTCATTAGATCTACTTTCATTAATTCATCAGTTTGAGATGATTGTTCAATATCAATTTGATTCAATTCAGTAGACATAGTAAAATAGATGTTTATTAAAATAGAGATAGTTTCTAATCTAAATAATTGTGTTACACTTTCTTAAAATGATTACGTCATAGGTTCAAAAGAATGTTCATACATATATAACATTAATGATAAATTTCCGCTGAATATATTTATATATATCGATATATATGTATATTTATATATCGATATTGAAATTAAGTGAAGGAATATGTCTCCATAGACGATCAATTTAAACTTTGTATATTACAACAAATGACATATAGTGGAAATCAACTTGCATATTGTATAATGAATTCTTTCACATAAAATTTGATTGGTATAGCAACTGAATATATAAGTAGAAAATGATCTATATGTATATATATTTGTCCAATATTCTCATTTATCTTGTACGGATCATTTGTATAAATTTGTTATATAGTTATCAATTGAAGAAATAATAATAATGATTCCACTAATATGTGTTGAATACAAATATGTATATTGTATAGAAAATACAAAAAGAAAGAAAAAATAAGGCGTTGAAAAATTCGAAAGTATACTTGCTGCCTTCAATAATTATTGATGATTATTATTGTATTTCACAAATTGCCTTATATTGTTTCTGATTGAAACTTTGCATATTGTATGGAGACGTGCATCGTCTGAAACCTTCACAGTAGAATTGAATAATAATAATAATAAGTTAAAATTGAATATTATAAAAATTAGATAGTCGTTGATTCTTTTTTTTTTCTTTTTTTTGGATAATATTGCGTAGGTGTTGATAATTATTGACCTCTCAAATTTGCAAAGAAAACAGAAACCCCCTTTCAATATAATATGTATATGATAGTTGTTTGTTTGTTATGAATGGTGAAAAGAAAAACAAAACTTTTTTTTATTTTTCTTAAAACAGAGTAACCTATCAGCTTAAAAGTGAATTTAACTTACTTTGCCTGTATACTTTTGATTACATGTGTAGTGTTATCACCTATCTGTGCTCATTATTACTGGCATTGGACAAAATTTTTTTACTTAAATTGCGTGGCCATAATTATAAGTAACCAACTAGCTAGCCTATATCATTTCAGTTTATAAAAGAATCAATCAAATTGGTAAAAATTCAGGTAGAATAAAATAACTAAAATGAGAGAGACTGACAGTTATAGATTGATAGACATAACACTAGTGAATTAATCCAATCCCATTAAACTTAACTAAATGATTATCCTATAGTAATCACATTTTCACGTTTATCGTATTAACTTATTAGTATTATTGCATAGTGAATAATGCAATGGAAGAATACTTGAAGTAATCATTTGAAAAATGGATTTTAAGACATTCTTCTCTGTTTATTTATCTTTATCTAAATAGATCTTTACGTAGAAAGTAAATCTAAATTTCTGTAGTTTACATTATAAATTGATTTCAGTTAGACAATCATTGAAAATCAGAAAGCACGAGATAATTATGTCTTTCTAATATATGACACTTTAGCAAGGTATCGTTATTGTTCAATCAGGACTAGAACCCAAGCTTGTTAGATCTCACAACAGGTGCCTGATGTTTAAACCATTTAATTGACTTTCAATTATTCATGTTTTTAACCCTAGACAAATTTTACTATTGTGAAATCATCATTCCCTGGCATAGAGAATAACACTAATCTCACGCAAAATAGAAGTTTAACTCCACTTGTCAACCAAGTTCTATTTAAGAGCTGTATAATTGTGTTCTTTGATAATTTATTACAATAAACTACATAAATAAGTAGGTTTATTTTCAGTGAATAATTTCAAAAAGTGGTTGCCAATTATTCATTACGAAGAATATTTCATTTGAGTGAAATAGACAAATTAAACTGTATAATAGTTGAATTTATGAGGCATTTGAAGCTAGATCACCATGGAGAACCTGGAAGCACTCCAAGGTCATTTCATCCTAGTTTGAGACTCCTCAGCAGTGAGCATCCACGATCCCGCCTCGCGAGACTCGAACCTCGAACCTATCGGTCTCGTGCACGAACGCTTAACCTCTAGACCACTAAGCTGGCATCCAACAGTGTTAATATCTAACTTCAACCAATATTTATTTGAATCGAGTCTTTGAAGATTTGTTCAATAATGGATGTATTGAATGAATAACTCTTGGGAAATTTTTACTGAGTATAGTGAGCTTTTCCAAACATATTTTAATTTTGTTATTGTTTGATAATGATTTTGATCTTTCTAGATTCAGTTAAGTTTTCGTTTTGATTTGGTTCATGAATTGGTAATCAATAGTTATTGCTTTCTAAAAGTTGGTGGAGCAAGAATTAAATGCATATATGTGCTAATTTATTCAAAATCTCATTCTACCATCCTTAGTTTTAACTATTCGATCGGCTTAATCTCATATTTGTATTTTAGGTTTTCATCAATTAAATGTACAAACATCTTAATTTGCTCATGGAATAAGCAGTTCAATTTTCCTCATATAATTTTTTACTTTTCTAGATTTCCTCATACAATTTGTTAAGCACCTCTTCCTAAATACACAAAGTACCTGCAGGTTAGATGTTAATCATTACAAGGACTATTCCAGACACTTGATGGAAATGCCCTTCATAATATTCAGTATAAAGTGACGAGATTAAAAAAACTTTTATTCGCTCCTAATCATGATTCTTATAATTGTTAATTATTCCATGTGTTTTCGTATCGGTAGAATTCACTAATTTACAATTTATGCCTGATTAATTTTCTTTTGAAGAAGTATTTACCAAGTTGGATGAACAGCGATTTGATCATATTTTTGTAATAACTATGTAAATATTATAGATAATTTCATTACATTTTCTAGAAATAGAAAGAGTATGTAAGCAATAGCTCTGCCGATTTCGGAAATATTTACTTACTCCTCGTGAAGGAGCATAGGCCGCTTACCAGCATTCTCCATCCAACCCTGTCTTGGGCAATCCTTCCAGCTCTTTCCAGTTCTTATTCATCCCTTTCAATTCCGCTTCTATTTCCCGACGTAATGTGTTCTTTGGCCTTCCTCTTTTCCTCTTCCCTTCAGGATTCCAAGTTAGCGCTTGCCTCGTAATGCAGTTTGATGATTTCCTCAATGTATGTCCTATCCATTTCCATCGTCTTTTCGTAATTTCCTCTTCCGCTGGCAACCAGTTACGTAATACAATTTTTAATAAGTTCTATTCTCATTAGAATAGGAGATTTATGGAGATTGTACTGCTTTTAATAGACGATTTCATGAGTCAATGTAAGCTAGACCACAACTGAAAACATGAAAGCATTGGACAACCGTTTCATCCCAGTGAGGGACTCCTCAACAGTGCTCATCCACAATCCCGCATGAGAGGTTTGAACCCATGAACTTCGGTTTCGTGCGCGAGAAAATTTTAGCCTGTAAAATACGAATTATCACAATCGTCTGTTCTATAATAATAATAATAATATCAATAGTTGAGATCATGAGTCAATGGAAGCTAGACCATCATGGAAAACCTGGAAGCACTGAACGGCCGTCTCGTCCTATTGTGGGACTCCTCAGCTGTGCGCATCCACGACCCTGCCCCACGGGTCTCGAACCCATGACCCGTTACTCTCACACCAGGTGCTTAACCAACTACATCACTGAGCCGGCATCCAGTGGTGTTAATAATATTAATAACGGTGAAAACAGCATTAGCAATAATAGTGGATATAATAATAATAATCGTTATTATCATCATTATTGTTGGTTTAGCGCGTTTAAAACTAGTGAAGACTCGCTAATAATCTGACAAATTTAGTTTTGCAATAACGTTGACTGAAGAATAGTTGAAAATAAGAAGTTAGCGATCAGTTGTTGGATCCCACTTTGATGATCTTCCAAACCACACATTACAGAATATGAAATCTTAAGAATTTTGATGAATAAGATGCCTTCAAACAATTGATTTAAAATTCAGTGATTAATCTGACCAAACTTAAGTCAACTTATAACACATATCAGTCATTATCAAATGCATTAATTAATGACTGACTATACTACTCTGAATCAGACAAATTCATATCATCGAGCTTAAAGAGTTCTTTCATATTTTCGTTTTTTTTTAGAATTTATAAACAGGATATATCAATAGGATGTTATTCAGAAAGAGGATGGGGTTAAATATTCTTTCCATATGGTATAACTTTACTTCGCTCCTTAATATATATAGATTAACATGTTCGAATCAATGTCATATATTTTACACTACAATTATCACGTTTCAGTTAATGACATTAGTATAATAAACACATTTGAAGATTTTAATTAGAAATTGATAAGACTGATAATATTGACAATGCAACTGTTGAACTATTTGACTGAAAGTAAGAAATTTTGTCAAAGATATTTTTTTTGTTACCATGTGACAGTTTTTAAAGAGATTTTAGAAAATGTGTACTAATGAAATTTCCTAATTTTGCAACATAATTTGTTTCTATTCACTTGGTTTTGTTTTGCTTGTATCTTCCTATTGTTATTTAGGATCGGTTGAAGTTAGATATTAACACTGTTGGATGCCGGGTCAGTGGTCTAGAGGTTAAGCATTCGCGCATGAGACCGGTAGGACCTGGAATCTAATCTTGCAAGGCGGAATCGTGGATGCGCACTGCTGGGGAGTCCCACAATAGAACAAAACGGCCTTGGAGTGCTTCCAAGTTTTTCATGGTGGTCCAACTTCAATTGACTCATGAATTTAATCATTAAATTTATTTATTTGTTTACATTAATTTAAAACGGATGTAATGAGATATAATAAATTTATCTGAATTAAATTTTGTAAAAACTTACTTAATATTATGGTTTACTTTAGGAAATAAATACCGAACAGCCAACACGTTTTATTGTGGGTCTAATCAAAATTGACTAGTTGTCAACTCACACTGGTTCAATCGCAGGATGATTATGACTCTCTGGGACCACTATTTAGCCCGAACGTTTGAGTCGGAATCCAGTGGTCCGTATTTCCAACATCAGTTACTTTGAAATATTGAATG